TGGCAGGCGCCCTCCTGCCCCTCGAGCCGGGGTCACGGCTGTAGGCGCTCCAGGTATTGCGGCAGTGGGTTCTCCTTAATATACTTCTGGATGTACCAGCATGTGAGATGGGCCTTCAGATCCTCCTCCACCACGAAGTCCAGAGCAGCCTGACAGCCGGGCAGAGAGAGCAGTCAGTGCCCAGAGGCCCAGCTCCCACACCTCCCAGGCTATTCCTTCTGCTGCCCAGGGCTACCTGTTCTACCCAGACTGCAATGGAGGCAGGCGGTGCTATCACCACCCCCGTATTTCAGTTGGGGACACTGAGGCAGAAAGCATTGGTAAATTGCCTGAGACATGTGTCATAGAAGAGAATGAGGCAGGATTGGATCCTGAGCCTCTGCCCAAAACTGTCCAAGAGGCGACTTCAGTATAGAGCAGCTAAAAGCCAGGTGGCAACATGTGCAGGGGCTACACCTGGAGAATCCCACCCCATTGCCTGTCCTGGCTGTCCCACACCTACCCTGAGGCCTATCTCCAAACAAGCCCGCCATTTCCATTCTCAGGTCCTCTGCATTCATGGGGTATCTGTCTAAACTCCTCTTTATCACTTATCCTTCATTTGACAGCTCCTGGTGGCTAGTGGGTCAGGGCGCCTCAGGGCTCTCACAGCCCAAAGGGCTTCCTGTGCCCAGCAGAGGTCACACTTAGTTTTTAACGGGCTCCCAAAGGCAATGGTGTGAAGCAACTGCGGCAGAGGTGGGCAGTGTGTGGCCTTGATCTATGGCTGTTGTCACTGTCTCCAATAAGCTCAGGAGATAGAGAACAAGGGCATGTCTTGGGCACTTCCCTGCCCTGCAGGGCCTTGCACACAGTTGGTATTTAATATTTGCTAAAACAAAGTAGAGGACAGCCTGGGTGGGGTTGGTTGTCCTGATGAAAAAGGAAGCAGGCAGCATTTACTGAGTGCCTACTATGTGCCTGGCACTTGCATGGTTGACCTTCTGATACCCCTCAACTGGCCTTGTGCATTGCACCATACAGTCCACACCTGATCCTAGGGTTCACAACCTGAGACACTCTAGTGACAAGATTCCAGTCTATTCTCCCATTTTGCACATAAATTGAAAGCCCAAGGCTCTGGTCAGAGGTCACATGATAAAGGTACTAGGCAGGCAGGGCTTCCCAGGATGAGGGCAGGGCCCAATTCCCCTTTACCCAGGTCAATACATCTGGTTTCTTCACTGGTCACACAAATGGCTCCTATAGACTTCATTCCTCCCCAGCAGGCACAAGACCCCTGCCCTGGCCCAGGCAGTACCAACTCGACTAGGCAGAGGGTAGAGGAGGAGCAGAGGTCTGAGGCAGGAAGAGCAGAGGAAGGAAACTGGGCCCCCAGGAACAGTCCTCAGAAAGCCATTCTCTGCTCCAGGATGCAATTCCCTTCATTAAGTTCAAACCTGCTCTCCAAACAGTATGGGGTTTGAGGTGCTTTGGGGATGAAAGGGTTAGGGGCAGGGAATGTGGCATGAGCCAATTTACTTGAACATTCATTTGTTCAGCAAAGATTACTGAGCACCTATTACAGGTGCTGGGACCTCAGCAAGCGAGCTCCTGACACACAGTGGGTGTCAGTAGCCCTGGATGCTTAGTTGTGCAGAACCTAGGACCTGGGCCCAGAACCACTGCCACCACCCCAAGAGTAGCTAGGAGTGGGTGAAATGTGTTGCCCAACAACCTCTTGCTCCCAGCTGTAACCGGTTGCTAAGGCAGGCACTCATCTGCACTTTGGCCAAGAAACAGGCTACGGGCAGCCACCAGGGTTATGGTTTCCTCTAAGTGGGAGGGCACACCTCTCCACTCCCACCTCCCTACCTTGGCGAGGTGCTTGGCAATGCCACGCCCACGGTAGGCATCAGGAACCTCTGTGTGCTGCAGGTCCACGATCCGTTTGCCCACATACTCGTAGAGCAGGACGGCCCGGTCATGACATCCTGCAAGAGGAGGTGAACACATGAGGCTGTGGAGACTCTAAGTGCCTGACCTAGGCACAGAGGGCAGGGTAAAGGAACAGGCATTTAGAGCCAAGCTGCTGAAGTTGGATCTCGAATTTCCTTCTGTGCCTGTTTCCTAATCAACAAAATGGGGATATAGTAAAGCATTCCTCATAAGGGTGTTTGCAGAATTAAATGAGGTAATCTCCGTAAAATGCTTAGAGCAGTACCCAGAACACTCAAGGTGCCCGTGAGCCTTTGCTGTTAGTCTCAGCATCCTAGTACTCCCAGCATCCCCCACAGTCCACCTTTTGCTTCCCTAGCTGAGCATCTTCCTAAGGATCTGGAGTCCCAGCACTGGATGCAGAGCAGGGCTTGGCAAGTCTCCAACTAAACCAGAGCCTGAAGAGACAAGAGAACAGGCCATGAGAGTCATCAAGGCTACCTGTCAGGCCCGTGGAAGGTCAGAAATGTCCACAAAAATGTGATACTGGGCATGCATGCACCCATGGAAGGTCAGAAGATGTGGCGCCAATGTCCACAAAAATGTGATACTGGGCATGCATGCAGGAACAAAGTGGCCTTTGTGCCCTCTCAAGCCTGCCAGTCTACCTGATTTAACTGGAGTTTCTCCAACCAAAGTCTTTAGTTCCCCATCTGTCTGTCTGTCCATCCATCCAACCATACATATCCATCCATCTATTTATCCATCCTCCATCTGCCTGCCCATCTACCTACCTAGCCATCCCTTCTGTCCATCTGTCCACATACCCATCTCATTCAACAAATGTTTACTGAACCTCAGGCACTGTTTCAGGTGCTGGGGACACAGCAATGAACAAGCCAAAGAGAGAGCCCTGCCCTCATGTAACTCACTAGAAGAAGAGACAGAACGAACAAAGCAGCAGGCAGAGGGTGAGAAAGGGGGCGATGCTGGGTGGAGACGAGACAGGAAGGAGAGGCACTGGGCTATGTGATGTCAAGGGAAGTGGCCTAGGCAGAGAGAATAGCCAGTACGAAGGCTCTGAGGCAAGAGTGGGCAAGGAAAGGGTGGAGATGAGGGCAGGAAGGGGGTTGGGGTGGGGCAGGTCCTACAGAGCCTCTTAAGCCTCATGAGCTGGGAGCCACAGGAGGGTCCTTGGCAGAGGAGGGACAGGCTGTGATCATGTCACGGGATCCTTCTGGCTGCTATGAAAACAGACTGGGGGCAGAAGCAGAGGGACCAGTGATGTGGCTGCTGCGCTAGTCCAGGTGAGTGACGAAGGGGCACAGAGGGAAGCAGTAGAGGTGTAAGGAGGAATCAGACTCTGATGGTGTTTGAAGGTGTAGCTGGCAGGTTATGCTAATGGCTGGGATGTGGTGAGTGAAACAGGAGCTCCAAGGTGTGTTGTGTCAGGGAGCTGTGAATGTATGAAGAAAATAAGTAAGCTGGGTTGGGGGAGAGACAAGGCCATTTAGTCAGAGGTAGTCAAGGGAGACCCCTCCAAGGAGAAAGCCTCTGAGCTGAGAGTGATCAAGGAAGAGATAGCTGAAGGAAGGGTAGGGGAAGGACAGGCAGAAGACACAGCCAGTGCAAAGGCCCTGAGGTTAGAATAGATAATTCACTGTCCCCAAAAGAACACATGTCAATGCTAAATGTGTTTCTCTGATTTTTGAAAGGATACAAATGACCAGTCCAGGATCTCACAGCAAACTGGACACCACAACAGGGTCCAACCCCAATTAGGAGGCTTTCTGGTTCTCCCCGAAGCTCCAAGAGTGAAGCTACAATTCACTTCCCCATTTTCAGATGGGGAAACTAAGACCCAGAGGATCTGCATCACACAGCGAATCGGAGGTGAAGCTGGAACCCAGGTCTCCAGACTCAGAGCCCAGTCCTGTCTTTCTGCGTCACCTCAACACACCCTCTATCTACTGCCTCCAGGCCTTTGCCTGGGTAGTTCTCTCAGCCTGGAATACCCTTCCCCCTTCTCAGGCCCAGGTGAGGAAGGCCCCCAGCCCTGCCTCTTTCCCATGCCTCCAGGGCCCCCAGCACCTCCTCCTCATGGCCTGATTGCTGTTCTGGTGGGCAAGAGGCCCAGCTTTGGCCTCCACTGCTGCCTGCCCCAGCCATGCAGCACAGGACTCATTTCTTGGCTCCCACACCTGCTGGGGGATAATTCAGCTCACCCAGGACAGGAAAGCAGAGATCAAGAGACTATTTTGGGTTTGACCTGGTCACCAGTCACTGAAGGAGCTTCCCTGCCATTTAATTACCGGAGAACTCATCAAGGGTCAACTACATGGCAGGCAGGGTTTAAGGTGCAGGGTATGCAGAAGAAAAGAAAACTGGCTCCTTCATTAAGGGAGACAGACAATAAGCAATATCATTATGAACAATATAGAATTCCAAGGTGATGAGCTGGAGAACAATACAGCAGAGAAGGGGTGAGGGGGCAGGGCTGCCATTTTAAAGAGAGTGCACAGGAAAGGCTTCTTTAGAGCAAAGACTTGAAAGGGGTGAGGAATCCAAAAGATGTGGGGGATGAACAGTCCAGGTAGTGAGAATAGCATGTCCAAAGGCCCTGAGGTAGAATGTCCAAGAAGCAGTGAGGGGCAGGCAGGGCTGTGCTGGAATGAGTGGGGGAGAGTGGCAGGGAGCCATGCTGGAAGTTCTGGGGCCAGATCATGTGGGTCCTTGCAGGCCACTGAAAAGATCTCGACTTCTGTGCCACTGCCATCCCTACAGAGGAAGGTGGTAGAACCTTGATCCTTGCAGGCTTACTAGCATTCCTCTGTTCATTTGCCTACCCATTCCCTCAATCAACACTCCTAGAGTGGCTACCTGGGTTGTGGATGGACCAGAACCCAAATGGCCTTGGGGAGTCTCTGACCCACCATACTCCCCACCTCTGTCAGTTCCTGGTGGTCACATGGCCTCAGTCACCACTGCATTCCCAGTGCTCTGCCTAGGCAAGACATCCAAGAAATATCTGTCCTACAAACAACTGCTATGCTCTTTCTGCCAGACACACTATAGGGGTTTGAGGCTGACTTGCAGGCTACTGGTATGCCCAGCACTCTAGCCTTCCCAGAGTCTGGCCCTGCACCTTTAGAGAGACAGCAGATGGGAAAATGGAAAAAAAAAAGAAAAAAGCCTCACACTTTGTGGGGCTTTGCCATGGGTCCAGCTCTCTCTACGTACTAATTCTCATGAGAATCTTATATAATGGATAGAATTCTCAGAGCCCTGTTTACAGAGAGGGAAACTGAGGCCCCAAGAGGCAGTCACACAGCTCTCAGTGTGGAGCTGGCTGGAGACAGGCTGAGCACCCTTAGGGGGCTCTTTTGGCTGAAAGAGGAACAGAAGGGCATTAGGGCCACCACTGTGGATATGAGATATGCGTGA